CACACACACACCCTGCACTCATTCACCTTTCAGCCTCTGAGTGTTGGCACCCGGCCCCTACACTCAGGTGCGTCAGCCCTGCCAGCTCCCCCCAGTGACCTGCCGGCTCTGCACTGACACAGAAGTGTATTTTGGGGCATCCCCCTGCCACCCCAGGGCCTGTCCAGGACCCACAATGCCCTTGGTTGTGTCATGGCTTTAATCTCCTTTTACCTGGGACCATTTTGCAGCCCTGGTTTATCTTTGACATTGACCTTTTTTTTTTTTGGAGACAGGGTCCTGCTATGTAATTCAGACTGTAGTTTGATTGATTGATTGATTGATTGATTTATTTTTTCTGCACCAGGGATTGAACTCAGGTCCTTACACTTTCGAGGCAGGCGCTGGAACCACTGAGCTAAATCCCCAGCCCTGTTTTCCTTTTTTTATTGATGAAAAAATAAAACAAAACTTCATAACAATAATGAGAGGATAACAAAAGTTATCATGCTGTATATCATTATCTTCAAAGTACTTACTCACAGTACGAGACGTGAACCAAAGTGATTCTGGGAAAAAGGAAACAGAAACACAAAACTTTATCTTCACCGAACTAAGATAAACTGGTAGTGCCAATCCTGGTGGCGCATGCCTGTCATCCCAGCCCTTGGGAGGCTGAGGCAGGAGGATCTCTGAAACTTCACAGCCAGCCCGGGCTACACAGTGAGACCCTGTCTCAAAAAGCAAAACACAGAACAAAGCCAGAATTCCAGCCACGCACACAGGGGGTGCTGTCTTCTCCTCGGGGTGTCGCACTGGGCCTCCAGCACCCTTCTGCCCTCACGGATGACCATGGCCCGGCCGGGCACAAGTCCCTGGTCTTGAGTGGCCTTGGCAGAGGTTACACCTGCTCTGTGTGCTTCCTGTGCCCCAGTGCGAGGGGAGCAGATGGCTGCTGTCCCCCACTGTCCCCGGCACATCCTCCTGACCGCGGTGTGACGGTGGCCCGGCTCTGGTCTTGCAGAACACCTACGACCGCTGCCCCCTGGAGCTGGTCCGCTGCATCCGGCACATCCTGTACAGCGAGCAGAGGCTGGTCCGGGAGGCCGCCAGTGTGAGTGTCCGCGTGGGGGTGGCGGGCCCGTCTCACGCACCCTGCCTGGGGCAGCTCTGAGGGCTCTGGGATACGCCCTGTGGTGTCCCCCCTAGAGATTTGCTCTCAGTGAGTTTATAGCCTCGCTAGATTGCAGCCACAAAGCTGAGGGAACAAGTGCAAAATACAATCTAACCCTTTGCCAGGTGTGGTGATGCACGCCTGTCATCCTAGCCCTTGGGAGGCTGAGGCAGGAGGGTCACTGAAAGGTCAAAGCCAGCCTTATCTACATAGCATCACGTTATCACAAAACAAGGAACACCCCCAGCACAGCGCCTGAGTCCTGCGTGCACACAGCTGGGGGACCCCCCCCCCAACGAGCGACTTCTTGCCCCTCAGGGTGTTAAATGAACAGGTCAAGCTGGGCTGCTTATGAGGCCGCATTCACACTGGCCTTTTTTACCACACCATCCCCGGAAGTCCCTCGGGGACCCTCCAGGTGCCCCAGGGTGGTCTTCAGCAAGGACGAGGGGACTGGGCCCCCACAGCACCTCCAGCTTTAGCTCTAGGCCCCTGAATAAAGGTGGGGTGAGGGTGAGCACCACAGAAGGATGCCCAGTGCGCCCAGCCCACGCCGCAGTCCCGTCTTCAGGGAAGTGGGGGACCCGGTGTCATCAGATCTGGAATAGGAAATCCCGTGTCCTCTTGGGCACCCACCCCCCGCTGTCCCTCCCACCCCAGCC